TGGATGGATGGGTGGATGGGTGGATGGGTGGGTGGGTGGATGGGTGGATGGGTGAGTGGATGGATGGGTGAGTGGATGGATGGATGGGTGGGTGTATGGATGGATGGGTGGATGAGTGGACAGATGGGTGGATGAGTGGACAGATGGGTGGATGAGTGGACAGATGGGTGGATGGATGTGATAGAGTTCAAAGCAGGCGGCCCCAAGATGCTCCACTCTGGTATGCAAATTATTTTGACCTGAAGACAATGAAGGCTCAGAGGTTCAGGAAGAACATTGGAGCTTCCCCAAACTACCTAAAAGAATTTAACATAGAAGTCCTCTTCCAGGAAGGAGCCACTCCCATATGATAGCTGTAATATAATGTAAAATAGGTGTGATAAGAAAGGCACCAACAAACCCATCTTATCAAAATTCTGTCTCTGGGGCCACATTCTCTATAGGTGGTCCAGTGAAGAGTCCTCTGACAAACATTTGCATTTCCATCTTTGTGTAAATTGTCTTCTTCCTCTCTGAAATCCCAAACCACTACCCCCAACACCCTCCTTGCCTTTAGCTGCATATACTTAAGTGAGCAGCTAAGTCAGAATGGCTGAGTTGCTCAGTTCTCTTTCTGAGTTTCTTCCATGTATATATGTTATTAAACTTGGTTTTATTTTCTCCTACTAACCTACCTTTTTAATTGTTTGGCCAGCCATAAGACCCTTAAGGGAAAAGGCAGGGAGGATTCTCCCTCTTCCCCAATAGATGATTGGATGGGTGGATGGATGGATGGGTGGGTGGATGGATGTATGGGTTGGATGGATGGGTGGGTGAGTGCGTAGGTGAGTGGATGGGTAGGCAGATGAATGGATGGATGAACAAATGAATAGATGAATGAGTTGAATGAAACAATGAATGAGTAAATGAATAAAGTGAATGAATGAAGAAATGAATTAATGAATGAGTAAAGGAATGATTTGGATGTGTCTAGATTTGCAGAGGGAAGGGGGACATTTTGGCCCCAGTGCCTAGTGGCATTTACAGCTGTGGTCCTATCACTCCATCAAGTGGGACTGCTCGCCCCTCCCATATGAGTGGCAGGCTCTCCTGTCACCACCCTGGGCTTATTACTTTCACCCCCATGCTGACTGCTCCCCTCCCGCCCCTGCCTTCCCAGCTCCAGCACTGGCTGCAGCTCCTGGTGAGCACAGTTCCACTGCAGCTGCCAGGAGCTGTGTGTGGTCTTTCCCCTGGGTGGGGCTGCCTCCCCTCCCCACCCCTGTGACCAGGGACAGGTGTCTTCTTGCTCTGCCCCTCAATGGGACCCGCCCATGAGGTGCTCAGTGGAGGGAGGGGTGAACGGAGGGGCGGACACTTCCTTCACCCTCAGGGTGGGTGGACCCCCATCTACAGCAGGCGGGACGTGTGGAGGGCTGCAAAGATAATGCTGGACTACAATATGGCCTTCAGAGCTTGCTAGCCAGTGAAAAATCCATTTTTCATCTTGCAATATCACTGCGGTAGAAATTCTTTAAAAATCATCACAAGGAAGAAAGAGTAAAAGCTGCCGCTGCCCTCCCGCCCCTAAATGAGCAAATGCTGCTTCCAGAGAGACTCACCAGCCAGCCACAGTAACTGAGGATTTTTAAGGCTTGCATTTCCATTCCCATATAGAAGATCGTCTATAAAACGACAGAATACTGGACAAAGACTTCGTGAACACAAACTCCGAGATTGCCCGGGGAGCTGCGGTCGCTCAGCTTTTGTCGCTCAGTGCAGGGGACGCTGCTTCCATGTGAAAGACGCAGGAGGGGCCTCAGACCGGAGGAGGAAACCCACGGGAAGGCGGGCAGCTCCTCCAGGTTCCCTCAGGAGAGAGGCCAGCGCGGGAAGAGCGGCCCAGAGAAGGATGCCGTCGCCTCTTCTGAAGGGGAGATCTGCAAAGGGACTTTGAAGTCCTGGGTCTTCCTCTGCGGCCACGATGCTGCTGCCCCTCGGCTGTTATGTCCATCCATGAGCTACAACCGCACAGGTGTTATGGCTGGACTGTGTCCCCTGAAAATCCTCGTGCTGAAGCCCTAACCCCGGGAGCTCGGAATCACTGTATTTGGAGATGAGTTCTTTAAAGAGGCAATTAAGGTAAAAAGGAGGTCTTATGAGTGGGTCTTGACCCTATCTTTCTGGTAGAAGAGGGGATTAGGACACGGTCACACACAAAGGGAGGACCATGTGAGGACAGAGGGAGGAGATGGCCATCTGCGAGCCAGGGGGAGAGGCCTCAGAAGGAACCGGCGCTGCCCACACCCTGATCTCGGACTTCCAGCCTCAAGGACGGTGAGAGTGTGTCTGTTGCTTACGCCCCTGGCCTGTGGATATGGCAGCCCTAGCAAGCCAATGCACAGGGATTCATTCCTTGTGTGATCTCTGTGAGCCCAGCAGGGGCCAGATGATTCCACCATTTCAGATAAGGAAACTGAGGCAGAGAGCGGTGTGGGGGCCGGTCCCAGGCCCCTCTGACCGGGGCACACTGCACCCAGCGAGTGCTGATTTCGACTTCTGGTTCCGCTGTCCAGAGGGACCAGGCTGAAGGAGTGAGGGAGATGTGTGTCCAGGGAAAGCACAGGCCATGCGGACGGGAGGAGACATGTGCGAGAGGCTGGTCTGAGAACCAGCGTCCAGTTTGTGCCTGACACAGCCGGTGTTCTGCTGTCTCCTTTCTCTCCCACCATCCATGGGGGCGGTGGCCGGAGCGAGGATGGGGCTCTGAGAGGCCCAGCAGCAGTCCTAGGCAGGGCTGGGACGCAGCTCAGGTTCCCTGCTCCAGAGCGTGCTGGGCTGTGCTGCAGAGAGGCTGCAGGTGATCAACAGCTCAGGGGCTCTCTGAGACTATTGTGTGATGCAAGAGATTCATCCCCCTAAATGAGGCCTGTCCCCATTTTTCAGGTGAGGACGCTGATGTTTGGAGAGCTCAAGGAACCGGCCTGCATCCCCAAGTGCTTCCACAGTCCCCTGGCGGTGGGGCTCCCATGGGGTGTGGGAGAGAAGACTCGTGCCGTATGTTCTGTCTGGGTGTTCTGCAGTCAGCTCTTCCTTCTAGAAGGTTCCTTCCCTCCACCCTCTCCTCAGGTCCTTCCCGCCTCCTTTCTGAGGTCGGGCTGAAGTCCATGGAGATACTCAGGCACACCAGGGCTCAGAAGGCAGTGTGGCGGTTCTGTCTGCAGTGTTCGGGGCGGCGGGCCGGGGTGTTAGAGTCACAAGAATGACTGTGTTATGGAATAGGAAGCTTGAGTAGCATGGGGTGTAACCTTCACCAGGACCCTCGACAAAACGTGGGCATCGGGTTAGCGGCCCCCAGGGGGTCCTCGCCGGTGTGCGGGCACTGGGACGCATGAGGTTTCTGCCGGGCAAACAGGTCCCCAGGGAGGGCGCTCAGGGAGGCAGGAGGCCTGCGCCTGGGTCTCCCCTCTGCAGGACCCTCAGCTCTCCGCTCCTCCTCGGTTTCCCATCTGCAGCCACAATGACAGTGATAACAGCTTTGTCTGTGGTGGCCACCCCACCCCTGCATGGCTGGCCCACGGGAGGCCCGGGTGGCCGAGACAACGCTGTGCTCAGACAGCTGTGACACTGGTCCAGCCAGGGGGACACAAGAGCCTCTGTGGGGACAGGAGGGAAGCAGGCGTGGGCATCCTGCCCAGCTGTTGGCATCAGACAGTTGTCTGGTCTGTGTTTGCTCGCCATCTTCCCG